GCATGTCAAGCTGCATGGCTCAGGATGCTGTTGAAGGAGCTGAATGCAGAATTGGTCCAACCACCAACATTGTTTGTTGATAATAAGTCTGCAATAGACTTAGCTAAACACCCATCAGCTCATGGAAAAAGCAAACATATAGAAATGAGGTTTCATTTCTTGAGAGAGGTTTCATTTCTTGAGAGAGCAGGTTAATGATAAGAAGCTTGAAATAGAACACTGCAGACATGTAAGATCAGAGTGCAGATATCTTTACAAAGCCTTTGAAGGCCGCTAGATTTTGTAAACTCGAGAGAGTGTCTCGAGAATTGTTCAGCTTTTGACTTAAGTAGGCATGTTGAGATTTAAGTCAAAATGCATGATGGGTAGTTACGTGTATGGGTATTATGTGCATGGGGCATGCATTACGTGCATGGGTTTCTTTCAGCTTTTTTTCGTTTTGTTCACGTTCTCGTTCTACTCGTTATTTGTTATTTCTACTGTATATAAACATTACAGTTTTCATACATCAATAAAAGGAATGTACTTCAGTTTCTATCTGTAGCTCTCCCATTTCAGATATAACGAGAGTCCCCCTTGTTTCCAGGTGTCCTCACTCAAGCGGTGTGATTTTCGCTTGAGTCACTTTAGATAGCGGTTATTTGGCCAACCGCTATCTAAACTACTATATTATATAGTGGTTGGCCAAATAACCGCTATCTAATGTAGTAGTTTAGATAGCGGTTGGCCAAATAACCGTTATCTAAAGTCATATATGTCAAAGTGATCGACTATAATTGGATAATAGTCGATCATACTTTTCGCTCAAGCGAGAAAACCTTCGCTTGAGCGAGAATTTACCCCAGACTACACCTTTGTTACAGGTTTCCTCGCTCAAGCGAAGGTTTTCTTCGCTTGAGCGAGAGTTTAGTACGCGAAATAATATTATTTTAATACAGTGAACAGTTGCGCGAAATAATATTATTTTATTAAGTGAACAGATAGCAGATGCTAGTTTTGTAAATAAAGTTGCAGAGGTGCTATTTGGGTAAATATTTTTTAAAACAAGTATTATTTATGAAAAAAGTCGCGAGCCACCGCCCCCACTAAAAATTTATTATTTTTATTATTATTATTATTATATAATAATTAAATAAAAACTATAAATAAAATTCAAAATTTTATTTTTTCTTTTCTTAACTTTTCACTTATAATAAATATTATTTTTTTACACAATTTTTTACGTATATATATTTTTCTCTTTCTTTTTTCTATCTTTAATTTTTGTTTTCTTCTCTCACCTTTTAATTTATCCACTTTAACTTTTTCTATCACCCATTCATTTTGAATTTTCATATATTCTATCTTTTTTTTTTTACCATTTGTTCACTTTCATATTTCTTTTTCTTTTTCTCTTTCATGATGTCACTTTACAAAATAATATTTATAAGTTTTTTTCTTTAATTTTAAAAATTTTCTTTTGTACAGTTTTAGTATTATAGCATAAATTTATAATTTCTTTTTTAGTTTTTTTCTTCTATTCACACTAAATACACAAGATAATAAGTAAAAAATAAAGAAGATAACTCACAATAATTATTTTGAAGTAAAAAAAGAAGAATCAAAATATAAAATGTTGATATAATTTTTTTATTTGTTATAAATTAGTTAATTATTTTAATATTTTATTTTGATATTAAAATATAAAAAAATACTAGAGATATTTAAAAGAAAATTAGGACTACTTTTAAGAGAAAAGAGGTGAAATAAAAATTAATTTTCAAAATTTAAATTTAATTAATAATGTTCAACACACTAACTATTTTATATATTAAAATTCCTGATTCTGCGTGTTAAGAACATTGCATCACTTCTGGCTCTATAAACTAGAGCACATTGAAAAATAAAACATGAAAAGGGAAGGAGAAAGAAAAAAATAAAGGAAAAAAAGTGAAAAAGAAAAGAAAAGAATGGTACCTCGTAAAGAAAGTCAAATATTTTTACAATAAAAGTCATAGTTATATAGAACTAAAAAAAAAATTTTATGGTATTCTCATAACTTACACAATTAAAAAAAGAATGTACATCTTGATTCAAATTATGTAAAATAATCTTTTGCAATTAGACTACTATTTAGAGACGAAAAGTTATTATCATATGATTCTTTAAAATATATCTCATTTTAAAGCCAATAAAAAATATGATGGATTCACAATTTGTGATGGATTTACTTTTAGGGATAAATGTTAGAACTCTAGGGACACAATCTTCTCAACCAGAATGTGCACAGAAGTAGACAAATACTTGTGATGGTTAACTTGAATGTCATTCTTTAACACATACCAAATGTATTTTGACAAACCATTTTATAAAATAGGTTAAACAATTTTTTCATAAGTTAAGATTTGTTTACGCACAAGTTAAAAAAAAAATTAGAAAAATTATATGAGAGAGTTTCTATATATTAACGTATATATAAGTTAATTTTAATTTATGAAAGGAACTAATTTCATTTTTAGCTAAAATAAGTTTGAGGTACCCGATACATGGCTATATGTTGAGTACCTAATAATTTTTTTATCTTTTATTTTTAAGAATGAGTTCTTGCATCATAATAAATAACATATGAAACTTTGTTTACTTTTTTACGAAGCTCCCAAAATATAATTAGAATTATCACACATAAACATGCTTCTTTAATATTTTATCTAAATTATCAACACAAATATCAAATGAATACATAATAAATAGTATTGTTATAATAAATAAATATGAAGCATAAATATATTATAAGCACTACAACATTACATAATAAAAAGACATTATTCTATAAACAAAAGTTTTAAAGGACAAGTATTAAACGTGATTTTATGTTGATTTTCAAGTGCAATACATAATTGAAAGCTGTCAGAAAAAAAAATTTAACAATCTTTGAAACATTTGATCAATAAATTGAAGAGGAAAATAATTATTTCTTGTGACTTGATTTAATCTCCTCTAATTAATGCGAAATCTTCAACTATTTTAGATTCCCAAAGTATAATCAATACGGAATCTCCTATAATAAAAATTAATAAATTAGAAATAATTATCAGAAAATAATTTTGATAACATGTGTTTATCTAGAAGTCTCTCCTCCATTTATATTATATTTTTATTATTTATTACAATTTTTAGAATCACTAGGTTACTAAGTTTTTTTAATAATAATTTACAAATAAATTATATTTATATAGAAATAAATATATATCCGTGTAAATATATAAATATAAAATACATAAATACAAATATATAGTTATATATTTATATGTTAGATATCGAGAGTGCGCTCGACGGTGAAAGTGTGTGTCGTGTTTATTAGAATATATTTAAAATTAAATAATTATTATATAAATTTAAATATTTAATTTTTTTAATTTAATGTTAATTTTTAAAAATATATTTTAAATTCGTCGATAAATGAATAAATAATTACCGATGGATATATCCGTCTGGTAACTAATTATTCATTTATCAAAATTATTAATTTATCAATGGATATATCTCGTCGATAATTATTTGTTTATTTATCGACTGGATATATTCGTCGGTAGTTATTTGTTTATTTACCAACGGATATATCCGTCGGTAATTATTTGTTCATTTACCGACGGATATATCCATCGGTAATTAATTATTTATTTACCGATGGATATATCCATCGGTAAGACCAAATTCCACAACTACTCTAAATCCGTCGGTAATTTTCGATCAATAATTACTTATTTTTCAATGAATACATATTCGTCGGTAAATATTCCTCGTTAATTTAAGATTTTCTTTTGCAAGTAAGCAAACTTTGCACAATCATTCCTTCTTCTCTAAATTTTTATTGAGCTTTTATTCAACACTTTTCTTGAGATAATCATCAAGCACTAAAGAAATTCGCTGAACTAATTAGCATTTCACAGCACCAACATTTTGGGAATGGAACAAAAAGATAGTTATAATTATAGTTAGGAAAAATTATTTAAAATTTTACAGTTTTTTTATGAACACATCTCCCATAAATACAAATGTCATAAAATATATTAGACGCACATGAAAAATATATTTCTTCAACTTGATTAATACATTAAGATAGTTAAGTTTTTGTTAAAACAATATTATGTATATAATCATTACTTTATTATTGAACATTAACATAGTTGACTAATTATTCATTAAGTATTCTTGTAGATGTTTATAATGATTTTGTAGGATTTTAGTAAAAATAAGATTATATAATAACTATTATATATATTTATGATTCCTTATGTCCTGTAAATATATCTAAAATTTATATTGTATTGTTCTGAACTATTTTGAATATGCAAATAATGAGATAGAGCATAAAACATAATAGTTATTAAAAAAAAATCTTAAGATACAATAACAATTAATACCATAACCGTTATAATATATAATATATATGCTTGATAAAAAGATTAAGCAACAAGTATGATTATAACTGTCATTTTCATTGTATTTCTCACCTACAATGACGACTTCATTAAAGATGAGTCTGCAATGAGTTTAGTGTAGGTTAATTTTAATTGTCATTAAAGGTCATTAATACAATAATAATTGCTTAAAAAAAAAAAAAAAAGAGTGAGCATGAATAATAAAAAATGATGTTAAAATTTGTTGCACTTAGTTCAAACAAAGGGACGAGGCTCTAATAAAGCGCATATGTTATTTTAAACCAAAAACAGAAACTAATAGACAACAAATATATAAGAACATAAGGGAAAGCAATTGTGTTTATTTCTTGGTACATATTAATAATGTAAAAAGAAGGGGAAAAAATTCACAAAAATAAAAACTAAAGGAATTACGATGGACAACTCGAGGACAGCCAAGAAGGCATAATGTGAGAGTGAAAAACAGGGTAAAATAAATATAAATTTCTCAGCTGTAAACTACTACTAGTAACCAATGACTCTAGGATTTAATTCCATGACTCAAGGGATCCTTTTCTGTTCTTAAAGAAGAGCAATAACTTACTTGAAGTCACACATTACACTTCTTTTTATGAATTTATGGAGGGCATTTTTCTTTGATTCACCATATGTCATATAGACAGCTGTGTTCTTGACCACGAATCCATGAGCAAGAGTCACAAAAATCTCCACATTGTCTCCAGATCCTAAATTTGATATTATGCCCTCCCAATCTGTGTTATCAAAGGAAATTACTGTGCCATGCTTGTGTATCTGGAATGTGCACTTCGTGTAGTTCACAATTAAGACACTTGTAAGACATTCAGTTGCCATGTTCTCAGGGGTTGATAAATAAACAACACACAAAACCATTCCCATCAAGTCACAGTCCTTAGGCACAGTGAAATGAACTGAATGTCCCTCACCCACATGGGCCAACCAATGAGGATGGTTGTCACCTGGAAGACAAACATCAGAAGATTCACTCCTTGCCAATCCCTGTCCCATGAGATAAAAGGCTTAGTCATGTTTGTAATTTTGCTACTCAATTCATCACAAACAATCATTATTTAATCATTCCATATTACAAAAATGGGATTTTATAATCAATAGAAGATCAGAAGCAATTTAGAATGCATTTCTGTCTAATTACGAATTTTATAATTCACGTTGATTTTGCTCTAGAAATGTCATGATAATTCTGGCATTTTTATAAACCTGTAATATATGTAACAAAAAAGTTGTACAATAAAAAAATGCACTAAAATAATCTAAAAGTAATTGAAATTGGTAACCACCATTTGTAAAGATGGTGAAAGAAGTCTATAAATACAGTAAGGCCAAACTTCTACACTTTCCTTAAAAACTTTCTGGATGTCAATCTTATCATAATTCACATCTATTCAACATTTCTCCTAAACTCACCCTTCACTAACCAACAATTCTCTTTATTATATTCTTGAAATTACTAACAGTATATTATCTGACAACAATGAATCAAGCGTAGCATGATCATTTGGCTTGCTGATCATTAAAATCAGGTACTTTTAGATGAACCAATGCAACTATAGATGCGATAAGTGCAAAAATGGGAGTATTGTAAATTCTTTTAGATACTTTATTAGAATAGTTAATTTCATGTTCTTTTAATAGCTAAAATGAATGGTGAAGGTAAGTGCACGAAAGTAAAAGCTAGAGAAGGAACCTCAGATATGCTATTGCTGAGAGTGTTGTAGAATTCATTGTAAAATCCAAGACCAAATAAAGAAAAACTCAAGCGATGGTTTGAAATCCTTAATTCTGTAAAATGTACACCGTATTCAGTAAGATTTGCTTTTACTTGCTTAGATAGTTGAAACTCCGTGTCGCATTGAACCAAAACACTTCGAAGATTTGCAAGGCTTCTCAGCATTGGCTGAAGGTCACCCCAATAATTTTTGTCCATATCCATGCAAAACGTGTTGGGTTTTTTTTTGAAGGGTTATGTGTATATGTATTTCTGATATATCATGTGTGTATTTCTATTCATGTACTCTATGAATATATAGAGTAAAAATATTACAAAATATTAAATATTCATAATATCTCAATCATAATGACCTAAATCGAATAATAACCTAATGTCTTTTTACCTTCTCTCTTAAAAGATAATAAAATCTCTTAATACCTAATTTAAATAAAAGATAATAAAGTAATATTTCCAACATTCCTCCTTACTTTAATATCTATTTATTTGAATTTGATATATTTTTTTCTCCTTTTTTGTTTATACTTCTTGATATCTTCTTTCTTGTATGAAATCACATCTTCATTCTTCATTTTCTTCATCAACATATTTCTTCCTTTATCAATTTCATCTACTTTGTTTCTTTCAAACTTCATGGTAGTACTGTTGACTCTTTGATGGACGTTGAAAACGGTTTCTTCATCTACATCTTTATTTTCCTCCTTAACATGAAATTCCTTCAAGAAATCTTCTTTGTGCTTTTTCTTTGACTTTTCTTTTATATCTTCATTTGTAATCACCTCTTCTTTCATCAAATCTAAAGTGAAACTTTTTCCTTTCATGTGAACTTTGAATATTTCTAAGTTATTTGTATCTTTAATCACACAAAGTTTGTGTTCAAAAGACACCTTATAATTTTTCTCCAATAATTGAGCAACACTTAACAAATTATGATTTATATCAGGAACATATAAAACATCAATAATCAATTTGATACCCGAATGACTTTTAACTGCAATTGTTCCTGTACCTTTCACATTCATTTCTTCTCCATTACCAATTCTCACTTTAGAAATATGTGATTCGTTGAGCTCTTTGAAAAATTCTCGATCATGAGTCATGTGGTTTGTACAACCACTGTCTATTAACCAACCTGTGGATTTGTTGATTGTAGAGCATGTTGATGCAAGGAGAAGTACCTCTTCTTCTCTATCCTCTATAACTTGAACGACTTCCTCTGGTTGTGATTTGCATATCTTTTCTATATGTCCCAATTGACCACATTTGTTACATTTCACATCAGGCCTCCACCAACACTTGTTGGGTGTGTGATTATTTTTCTTGCAATAAGGACAAACGAGAAAATACTCGTGATTTTGTACCTTTGTTGTTCTTGGCTTGGACAGTAACCTCCATCATGATATAATAAAGAACCTTCACTAGCAAGCATGATCTCCTCTCATCAATCTTCGTTGCTCTTGTGCTTGTAAAGCATGTAACACTTCTGCCAAAGTAATATTAGACAAATCTTTTGTGTTTTCCAATGAAACAATTGATGCTTCATATCTCTCCGCACGATTACTAGAATTTTTTCAATTATTCTAGAATCGAGAAAATTCTTTGCCTAACAATTTTATTTTGTTAGCAATACCTAACAATTTGTTTGAGTATTCATTAATTGTTTGAGACTCTTGCATCTTTTGTATCTCAAATTCCCTTATCAAGTTTAGAACTTTCATACCTCGAATTTTCTCATCTCCTTCATATTGATCTTTCAAATAATCCCAAATTTCTTTGGGTGACTTTAGCGTCATGATTCTGGTGAGGATCATTTGTGAAACACCAGCAAACAGACATGATTTAGCTTTTGCCTTTCTCATTTTTCTTTCTCTGTGAGATTTCATTTGAGCTATAGTGGGATTTTCAGATAGTGGATCAACAATATAATCTTCTTCTACAGCTTCTCATACATCCAATCCTTCAAGATAGGATTGCATTCTCACAGCCCATAAGTCATAACTTTCGCCACCAAAAACTGGAATAGCGACTTGTGAAAAAAAAATTTCTCCTTCCATTGTGTCGAACCAAAGCTCTGATACCAATTTGTTGGGTTTTTTTTTTTGAAGGGTTATGTGTATATGTATTTCGATATATCATGTGTGTATTTCTATTCATGTACTCTATGAATATATAGAGTAAAAATATTACAAAATATTAAATATTCATAATATCTCAATCATAACATACTTAAATCGAATAATAACCTAATGTCTTTTTACCTTCTCTCTTAAAAGATAATAAAATCTCTTAATACCTAATTTAAATAAAAGATAATAAAGTAATATTTCCAAAAAAATGGACGTATATAAGATAAGTGATTCATTGTTGGAGACATCCAAGACCGAATGATAGAAGGATAAATATTGTGTGACAATTCTTCAAATCCGCGTAAGGATATATATCCAATGCATTTTGAGCTTACAATTGAAAAGGGCACTTGTTTCACTGCTTTATATTCAGCAATTAGTGTTATCAAGGATTCCATCTGCACTAAATCTTCTTCCAAAATGTCAATCTTGGCACAACCAGACAGGATGAGAGTTTTTAAAGACTTCAGCTTATATACCTCTTTGGGGAGATTGCTAAGACTTATACAGTCCTTCAAATTTATCAGTAGAAGATTGCAGAGATCTCCTATGGATTGGTGTACCTTGCACAATCTTGGACAATCTTTGAGAATGAGCTGTTCAAGACTTGGTAGTCCCGAAAAATTAGGTGATTCTTTCAGGTACTTTGAGTGACTTAGATTGAGGAATTTTAGCCAACCTAAAACCTACAAGATTTTTTTTTTTTTTTTAAGATCAGAGAAGAAAATTTAAAAACAAAAAATGCAATAGTTATAACTGAAATCAATTATAATATTTTCTATTTTAATTAACCAATGCGTTTAAAACAAAAAAGAAAAAAAAAGGCACGTAATATATACCCATGGTTCTTTCCAGACTCGTTGAAGATTACTGCATTTCAAATCAATCGCAATTACACCTTCCATATCACAGTTTTCAGGTATATGTTTGAAAGGAAACTCTCGATGACAGATCCATCGCAGTTGCTTAGAGAGGTTCGGATAGTCTCTAGTGAATAGTAGAGAGTCCAAGTCTGACAGTCTCAATATCTGCTTATTCTGGAAAGCAGAAATTTCCAACCAAGATGTGATGGGTAATGGTGATGACTTCAGAACCAATCCCTGAATGGCTTCTGTTCCCTGTGATGAAACGAGCAGAGAAAAACAAGTGAGAAATCCCTCTATAGAAGAGCATAGCTACGCTTGTATTGCACATTAAAAAGCAAAAACTTTCAAAACCATATAAAAATAATAGTTCTTACATTATTCTTTGTTAGTACAAATTTTGCATCGCCAGCAAACAGTCGGTTGCGCTTCTCACGTTCCTTGGTTGAACTTCTATGAATAATCTCTCTTCCCATCTCTTGTAGCAAATGATGCATGCCGAGTTTATTGTTCTTCCCAATTTTCAGTAGGCTACGCTTTATGAGAACTTGTATTCCAATATCAGCATGTAGTCCACAACCATTAAGAATGTCTGTAACACACCCTCTGTCTTCACCAATAAAGAAACAACATACATCAAGAAATATATCCTTTACCGTGTCATCGCGCAAACCGTCAAAACTTATTCTCAATTTCTCTTTAACTTCACGATAGGGAATCTTTTTTAGTTTTAACAATACACTTTTCCACTCTTTCTTTGTGCTCTCACTTAAATAAGAACCGAGGACCTCAAGAACTAGTGGTAGTCCTCCACAATAAACAACGACTTCTCTTGCAAGTTCATTGAAATCTTCTCTCGGTTTTTCTTCTTTAAAAGCATGCCAACTTAAAAGCTCAAGCGAATCATTTTCGTTCATATTATTCATTTTATAAGCATGATTAACACTGAGTTTATTCAGTAGGTAAATGTCTGTAGTTGTAATGATTATCACAGTTCCTTGACCAAACCATTTACGATTTCGATTTAGGTCTTCCAATGGTTCGAATCGATTCGCAGCATTAAGAACAATGAGCATCCTTTTCCAAGAAAGTCTTTCCTTAATCATACTTGCTCCCTTTTCAACGCTCTTTATCTCGACCTTCGTTTTTAGGACATCTGAAAGAAGTTGTTCTTGGAAATGAACATGCCCTCTTTCGCAAATGTCTGCAACATCTTCAATGAAACTTTTATACATAAATCTACCATGAATTTGGTTGTAGACGGCTTTAGCAACGGTGGCTTTACCCACTCCTCTACTTCCCCATATCCCTAAGATACAAGTGCCTTTGGTATTTTCAATATATTGTATCAGTATTTGCACATGGGATTGTAATCCAATTGGAAATTGAGTAGCAGACAAGACTGGTAAATTAAGAACGCTCTTAATAATTTTGTCCACTAGTTCAGCATCACTCCTTCAAGTTCAATAGGAATTATAGAAGAAGTCATGCATTACCAAAATGAAATCGCAAGCTTAAAATAAGCTTCATTGAGTAGTGATTTACCTGTAATTGCTCTCATCCCACCCAAAGAAATTTGCTGCTTTGGTGAGTGCGCGGCTCCACCTGGACAAGGCATCTTCCACTTCTTGTCCTGAAAACGTTTGTTGTGCAGTTGCTTTCAAGGCTTTTCCAAAATCATTCGTCTGAAGACGTACATCTGATGGCTGAATTTCGTAATATACAGGCAGAACATGTCGGAAATAAGTTTCAGGCCATTTGATGATTTGTTGAAGCTCATGAAGACACCAAGCAGATTCAGCGTAGGTTTTGGTGAAAACAACTATTGCTACGCGACACATTTCTTTTGCCTGCGTTAGTTGTTCTTGGATGTGCATGGTTTTGACTAGATTCTCCTCCTGAAGGAAAGTGGTGAGCCCAGCAGCTGAGAGGGCCGAATCGAGATGAGAAACGAACTTCCTACGGATGTCTTCTCCGGTAAAGTTGATGAGCACATCGCATGAAGCAGGCGTGAATTCCATCAAGGAAAGGAACTGATCAGGGGTTCAATTGTTAGAAGGGAAAGTGCTACCACTTAGTTACAACTTATTATATCTAGGCAAACACGAAACGCATGACAGTTTCGTTTAAGGAAGGGAAAATGCATTATTTGTTTATGCATAAATGATCTAAAGATTTTAAAGACTTAAAGAAAAGTGATTTTTTAAAATTTATTTAAGTTTAAATCAAATGTGACGATAAAATATAGTTTGAAAGACGCGCTACACTTTCACAAAATCCCATTAGTACTGAACTTTTTAATATTTTTATATAGTCTCCGAATTGTTAAAGACCATCGCCGAATCACTTTTGACTTTAGCTTTAGCTTTTGAATAAACTATAATGACAATGTTTGTGTGAAAAAAGAAAGAGAAAATAAAAAATAAGGGAAAAAAACAGAGGTGCCCGTAAAGAAAGTAAAAAAAAATTATAATAAAATTCAAAGTTATATAGAAGGAAAAGATAAAAATAAAAGTATTTATGATATTCTTCTACAAATTATTTGATTTATGAAAATTGTGTGAAATAATCGCCAATTAAACTACACTGTTTCTTAAGGCATAAATAATCTAAAGATCAAATAAAACATAATTCATTTTAAAGACTTAAATAAAGCTAAAAATAATTTTAACTTAATTTATTTTAAAACCCAATATGAGAATAAAATATAGTTTTCCTTAAATTCATATATTTTTATCCTTTAGTTTTATATAATTGTGAATATCATATAAATATGAATTTCTTGTAAGATTTATTTTTAGAAAAATGCCGTAAATATTTATTTTATGTTAATATATACTACCAATGTAAATGTAATTGACGAAGAAAATAAAATATTTTTAACATAATTTACATTGATTTTTGTGACGGAAAATTTATGATACATCATTATTAATAATAGAAAACATCACTTCTAGTTGCAAATTGAATTGATGATATCACATGAGATGAAACACTTAGCGGCGAACTATTTCCATCTGAAATCCGTGACTATAAGGTTCAAATTTTTGTAAAAAAATAAAAAATGTTATTATGACATAATTCTTTAAAATATATCTCATTTTAAAGCCCGTCACAAAGTACGAAGGTTTCACAATTTGTTATGAATTTTCCTTCGAGATAAATGTTAAAACTTTGGGACACAGTTTTCCCAACCAGAATGTGTACAGAAGTAGAAAAATACTTGGTGATGTCATGCTTTGACATACAGTTACCAAATGTGTCTTGTTAAACTTTATTTTATAGTTTTTCTATTTCCTTTAATTACATGAATTAATTTAAATTCTTATTCATCATTCCACAGATTAAAAAAATTACAAAAAAAAAAAATACTATCACAAAAAATACATACTTTAAATTAAAAAAAAATGTTTTAAATCCAGTACTTTTAATTTAGACTCATTTTTAGGAGGTATAAAACTATTTTTTTTGTATTTTGTTTCTTCTTTTTCTATTTTTTATAGTATTTTTGCTAAAGGCAAGCGAACTTCGTGCCAACACTTTAGAAATGAAATATTGGATATTCAGACGAGTACAAAAAAGAGTTTTTTAAGTCATCTAATTCTCGTCGCATCAAAAAATATTCGACTTAAAAAAAAGTGGTACAATTTTGAAAACATGAGACAGGACTTTTACGTCGCATTTAAAAGGAGATGATGTAAAAAACCTCTTTTACGTCGCACCAATAGGGGTGCAACGTAAAAAGGATCTTTTACGTCACATCCTTTTTTAGTGCGACGTAAAAACTGGTCTAATTTTTACGTTGCATCCAAAAAGATGTGACGTAAAAGACCTCTCTTACGTCGCACCCTTGTTGGTGCGATGTAAAAGAGACCTTTTACGTCACCTCCTTTTAGGTATGACATAAAAGAAGTTTTTTACGTCTCCTCCTTTTAGGTGTGATGTAAAAATTGGGTTTTATTCTATTCCAATGTCACTCCCTCACCTCACACAACAAAGGTTTTTTAGAACGATGACGAAAATAACGACGACAACCACCCTTTCCACACCATTTTCAACCATTTTGATAGTGAAAAACGTCAACATCGTGTCCCATTTTCCAAATTTGACGTTTCTCCCCGATTGGATTCAAGTTTTAAATCGTTTTCGTGTATACTCGAGGTTAGTGTTCTATGTGTGACACCTTTACTACCAACATTCACTTTATTATTATTTATTACTTATTATTGGTTCCTCTTAGTATTTGATTACCAATACACACTCATAGAAATAAGATACACAATAAATAGAGCATACACTTAGTGATTAATATACATATCATTCATAAGTATCAAGTATAACCAGATAGTAAATATATACAAAGTTATCCCAAAATACACCTAACAAGGGTTCACAAGACTAGAGCAGACAAACTAACTATACAACCTACCTAACTAAAAAGGAGATATATTTCGTACGCCCACTAAAATGAAGTATCTCTTGTAGCATTGTAGTGATGTCCGATCAAGTCATCTACTTAGTACTTGCAGTGATCATACTTAAACTTTACTTGGAGATGATACCAGGGATGAGTTGTGTTCAACGTCACCTATGCAAACATTTCATAACAACAATACATGCACAGAAAGGGTAAGAAACTTTATATTCACTTAGAGCATGCAAATAACATTGAGTTAATTAGAAACTACACATACAAACATACTAGCAATCAGCACACAAATGAAATTATATTATGAATGCAATGTATCCATTAATCTTTTCTAGGACACATCCTAGTATGCAAGACCATGGGGATCCCAAAATCACTTTTTTTTTTCCGAGAAAGATCAGGAGTTTTACTGGAATTTCTCACCGTCTCATAGTATTATACTCATAATTACTTGTCCAGCTCAACTGATCATGAGAAACCCTGGGAATTTAGTCAGAATAATCAAGCTTGGTAGTGAGAGTCTCACAGCTTAGGTAGCGAGCCTAAGCCAAATATGAGCTCGATCACACTCAATCATCTCCGAGGTTAGCATGGAACCGACCCCGATTTTTTATATCTTCTTCATACACTCAATCTCTGACTCATGAACATGATGCATGACTTATCATAACTTATTCACACTCTTTCAACTTTGTTTCATCTCATTATACTTAAATCACATCTTAACTTCTTGAAAGTAATACTAGGCTATTTCTTAAAAAAATCCGACAGAATCTCCTTTGTAAATCGAACATTCCAAAAAAAAAAAATTTACACCTGCAAAATAATCAGAAACAACCAAAAACACTTCTACTTTTCACAAAATCATCCTTCCACGTCATCATACTCATCATCACTCAAAATCATAATTTTCTCAATTTTAATTTATTTTTCTTAAATAATAATAATTACAAAAAATTTCCTCAAAATTATTAAAAATTCATTTTCACTTACAATTAATTGTTTTCTCCTAAATCAAAATTATTCCAATACTTTTGAAAAATATTTATTAATTATATTAAAATATAAAAATTCACTTCATAATTAAATTATAAAATTCAATTTAATATATCTTAAAAATTATTTTTCTTTCTCACATAGTTCATTTCTCACACCTTTCCTCCATTCCACCAAATTATACAATGCAATTCTACTTGTTAATCCATCTTAATAAAAACACTCCACAATAATTTTCTACTTATCATGTTTCATAACATACATACAATATATCTCAATATATAATCAATTTAAAACAGTTATCATAATACTAAACATAGAAATAGGTCAATTCTCAATCTAAATTCATCAATAAATCATATAAAATTACTAATGATTAAGCAATCGATTCAAACAATATTCATGGATGTCTTATACTCATACAAGGTTCCATACACTCAAGTTGCTCCATTTAGAAGCCACAAAATTCACATAATCCATAAAACTTTAAAAATTCATCAAAAATAGAAATAACATTCAAATAATTCCAAATAAATTTCTAATTAACTTAGAAGTAAAGGGACTTCTTCCCAATGCTATTTCAATGCAAAAGTGAACCATAAAAATTATCCTACCCCTTACCTTATGTTGTAACTTGGTGAAGATCAACTCTTGATCAAATAATCTACCAAGTCTTTGAGTCTCCTCTTTGCACGCCAATTAAATACCTCAATTAAGTTCTTAATTCCAACCATATTAGACCTCTAAAATCTCACCTCCTTCATAGCCTAAAATTCTAAAATTCAAGACTATGGTTCTTTGAGTTATAAAATCATTTCTAGGGTCTAAATTAATGCTAACGGAAGTAATACAAGTGTAAGAGAGTAATGGAAGTAATACACTTAGAGTAGGAAGAATCCTAATAACAAATATGGACAAGGTTCAGTATTTCAGAATTTTCTAAAGTTATATAAGCCGTTTTGGTATGAGGTCTGAGCCAAATTTTCAATAACTTAATTATCTATAATATTGATGAAGGAAATAAATTCAAATACCTTATAGAAAAAATGCAGTTTTTCAGTTTACAATGGTTGTTTCCAACATGGCTCAACTACAATAATACTCTGAACATGCCTTGGTAATTTAACTATAACTCATGTTACACATAAGCTATTGACATGAAACAAATTTCTAAATTTCGGGAATATAATTTCCTACAAATTTTATGAAGGAATCAAGTCCTAATTTCACACTTATCAATCTCAGTAATTCAAAAACCAAGGCTGTTGAAACAGGGCAACCTCTTAACGTCACAGCTAGAACACTTGACAATAAAATGGACATAACTTGAGCTACAAATATCCGTTTGATGTAAAATCAGTTTCAAAATTTCGATAACTTAAAGGGCTACAACTTTCATGAAGACACAAATTCCTAATTCTATTGACACAAGTCCCAGAATTAGGTTCTTAAGGTTTTTAGCTTAACAACTTCTAATCCTCAATTCTAAGCATTATTCTAGTGTCCTAGGTGTAAAACCTACAACAACACTCTTTCCACTCCCATTCAAGCTTAGCCAAGTGAGGAAAAAAATTAAAAATGAACCGTAGAAATGTA